CCATATCGTCGGTGTGGGCGCTCATCTTCCGGATACTTCACCGAATAGTGCCAGACCGGGAAAGTACTGTAGTCAGGGGGTGGCTGCTTCTCCGTCAGGAGTAGCTACTCCTGAAAATACCAAGGAAACGTCAACAACTGCTCCGGTCTGTACTCCGGAGATGCAAGTTGATCAACGACCAGCGGAACCTGATCCAGATCCAATGGAAGGCCCTTCGAATACTAGGACTGGATCAATCCCAGCAACGGAAGTCGCACAACCCTTGAGGCGTTCTACCAGGGTGGTGAAGGCTCCAACAAAATTGAATTTGTGATTTTTTTTAAATTTTTGCAACGGGCTCGAAGAATTTTTCTTTCTCAAGGGGGAGAGATGTTACACCTTAGCATTCAGTATCTTGATTTATTTTGCCAATACCTTGAATTACTCACCTTCCCGAGTTGTCATTGAGCCTTGTACGTGTGTGAACAGAAAAAGATGAAGTGCGGTACAGTTACTGGAGAGACGCCGAAATCATGTCCGGAGACGCGGATGAAGATGTAAAAGTTATTAATTAAAAGTGGTTAAATAAATTGAATTCGTCGATTAGCTGTTGTATTCATCATTACTCTCGGCCGTCACAACAAAGCCCTTGAAAGTTTTCTCGAGGTCGGTGTACCGCTCGAAATCCCCGACCTTACCGTGTTTGCGGAAGCGTTTAAACGCGGCGGACTTCTCGCTGTTCGCGTTGGTGCAATCCTTATCCCACCACGGAGTGAGAGGTCGTCTGCGAATGGAAACACCCGGAACGCGTTTCGTCTGTGCTTGAAGAGCGCAGTCAACGATAAGTCGCGATAAAAAGGAGTACTCATCCAGCGGAGGGAGTATCTCAACCGATTCAATACCACCGAGAACCGTGGCCGCAAATTTTTTCCAGTCGATGTTTTTCGTGAGGTCGTACGCGATGTCAACCGAGCGAGTGGAAGATGAACCATTGGTAATAGAAATTTTGATTGGCAAATGATCACTACCGTAGGGATCTTGGATTACTTTCCACGAGCAATCCAACGATAGTGAACTCGAACAAAGTGAGAGGTCTAATCTGCTTACTCTTGCTGGAGGTTTGGCTACTCGTGTTGCTTCCCCGGTGTTCAGAATTGTCATTTTGAAGATGTCGCACATGTCGTATATCAAGGTTGAGCGGTTGTCGTCGTACAGTTCCCCCCAGCCTGTACCGTGAGAGTTAAAATCTCCTAAGATCAACCGAGGCTCAGATAAAACTGAGCAGATATCTGAGAGACCTTGGCGAGAAATCGCAGTTCTCGGAGGAAAATATACTGAGGCAATACTGAGGCTTTTACCTCGAATATTTACCTGACACGCGACAACTTCAATGCCTGTCACGGAAGGCAGATCGATTCTATAAAAGGAATGGAGCTTATTAATCCCTAGAAGCACCCCTCCATACGAATCTGCTCGATCAAGGCGAATAATGTTAAAATCGTGGAAAGGGAGATCGGTGTCTGAAGAAAGCCATGTTTCACAAAGAGCAAATGCGTCACAAAGTGAGTTGTGAACTAAAAATTTTAATGCGTCAAGTTTCGGTATAAGACTTCTACAGTTCCACTGAAGAAGAGAGATCATATCTCCGACCTCATTCGGAAAATTATCCATCAAAAGATATGATCGATGCAAGGAAGGACCACCTAGAAGCTAGTTGCTTCAAAAGAGTTTTCACAAATGGAAGCACTAAATTAATAATGTTCCTAGTTGAGTCAGAGACGTTGAATATATTGAAGATGCTCTCCACAATTCCAGAAAACGTGAACATGGCATCATGTTCTTGCTGGTTATTTAGCTGATTTTCTGGCTGAAAAACTGGGATATCTGGGGTTTTAGATGATCCCGGAAGTGGCGGAAAGTCTTTGTTAAAATTACAAACTTGAAATCCCGGTGGTGGGGGTTTTGCTACATTTCCGCTACCTCTTAAATTTGTCAAGGTAGGTTGAGAGTCCGTACGAGAGGCCTTACGAGGTTTTTGCGTGACGTTTGTTTTGGACCGCTTCCTCGTGTTGCCGTTAAAGACAAAAGGACTACTCTCACCAACCTCTGAGTCAGAGCCCTGATCATCATCTGGCAGGAGGTAGAATGTGTTGTTGCTTTTTGGGGTGGTTTGGGAAGATGAAGCGGTCGTTTTCAAAATTTCTGCTAACGAGCGCTTAGAGCGAGCTTGCAAGGACCGCTTTAGTTTTTCTCCCTGCTGTTTGTACTTCGGGCAATCACTCAGAGCATGCGGAGCATCCTTACAGTAAACGCATATTGGTGTAGCATGACAAGGACCCTCCGTAAACAAGCGTACAGGTAGTCGAACCTTCCCAATTGTGACGTAGTCAGGTAATGCCGATCCTGAAAAGGTCACACGAAACGAATCTGAGAGGGTATACTTTTTGTTTGTGCCTATGTGCGACACTGACTGCAGTTGAATGCAGTCCAGTATCTTGACTTTCGGAAGGGCACGGTTTTTGAAAATGCCGAAAGATTCGACTTGCAGGAAATCCTCACAAGTCAGACTCGAATCGGTGACCACTCCTTCAATTTCTACGTCACAACTGGGGACGTAGACTCGATATTCGATCGAAAAAAGCTCACAGGCAACAATTCGGTTTGCCTGTTTCAGGTTATCAACGGTAACGCGCAGTTTGTTTGGCGTCACCTTAAAGATATCGGTTACGGCCGAAAAATGTTTTGTCAGATCCTTCGAAATCCGAGAAATATTCAAAGGTTTTTGTTTGGGCCGGAAGAAAACAACCCACGGACCTTTCGAGTCATCAGGGTAAGCCTTGTGGCGGGGGGTCGCTGATATTTTCGGGGGAAGGAGTGGAGTAGGGGGCACATAAGGACAAGGCGGCGATGGTGGACAAGGCGGCGATGGAGGAGAAGGGGGCTGTGGTAGAGATTTCACTTTTGGATAGGCTCCAGTGTTCTTGCTGGTGGTTTGATCAAGGTGCTCTTCGAGGGTATCCATTTCCTCAGAGCTATCAAGCTTTTCAAATGAGGGAGACTTTATTGACTCATCATCAGAGATGTCAAGCGACAGACCCCCGCCTTTATTTGTATCATCCATTGCGGTGACTTAAGATACCACCGCAACGGAATTGGTTGCAATCTTAGTTATTAAATGTTTATATTTTCCACAAATTTCAAATCTATGGATTGAAATTGGAAAGGAAACAACAAGAAAAGGAAGTCAACACTGTGAGTGAATTGCTCAGTGTTAAAAAAATAAAAGTAAAATAAAATATGTGCAAAAAAAAACTAAATAAGATAATGAATAATAATAAAAATAATAATTTGTAAGAAAGGAAATTCAACGCTGCAGGGGGATTACTTAATATTAGCAAATCAAAAACCAAACAAAAAAAAAAAAAATATTTACAAAAAAAAAAAAAAAAAAAGAATTAGGCTGAGAAAAAAATTAACTTATCTCTATATGCCGGGATGGCGCGTTTACAAACTCCACTGTGCGATGAAGCAGAGATGATCGCTCTATTGTTGCAGCACGTGGCTTAGCACAAAGGGCACCGTCCGGTCTGTATAGACCGTATCTGCAGTTCTGCTGCTTCGTTGTACGGTGTATACGGGTGATGACCTTTTGATGCCGTATGATGCGATGTCTAGGTGGTGGTTGATAGTTTTACCGTTGGACAATCCAATCTTCAGACTCGGCTGAGATGGTTGTGGCACTGCACACCTGAAGGTGTAAAAAAAAACTCCGATCGGGGAGAGAAAAAAAATCCACTTTTTTCCGAAAAACACTTTTGCGGCGGCGGGAGAGTAGCCTAAGCAAACTTGCTCTGTCGAACGTTCGACGAGGAATGAAATAAACTACTTTAAAAGGTAGATCGTGCTAGTGGATCTACCTTTTAAAGTAGTTTATTATTCGTGCGTTAAACGTAACTAGTCTTATGAATCCAAAGAAGATTAAAAATGGTATCACAACTTCTTAAAAATAAATTACGCAGTCTCATACACACTCTTGTGAATCTGGAGACGAGTCTGGAGATCTCTATTGTTTTGGCAAAGGGACCGTTTAAAGCAACCCGTCATGGTTTTTCAAATGTTTGTATGGGACTGCCGCCATCCAGCTGACAATAAGCTCTCTCCGAGGCTCTATCTTCTACATGTATGATGATATTTTAAATATATCTAAGTTGTCTAAACCCTTGGACTGCACTTTTAAAAAATACCATAAACGAATGGTAACCCGAAAAAAAAATTATAATAAAACAACGAAATTACAATGATTTTTACTGTTGAATTTCGTGTACATTAAAATTTATTGTTAAATTATTGTACGGGAGAAAACATAAACTTCAATTTTTAACTATACATACAATGCTCAAACAATGAAAATTAGTGTGAAGAGATCAAATTTGTTCCAGAAAAATCACTTTTTTTATTGTTAAGATGCTTAACAACCCCCCTTTTTTACTGTAAATTTCTCAAATACCATGTTTTTCATTGTTGTGAACAATGAATTTCTTTGTGATTTTATGGTAATGGACAAAAATGTCCAATATTTCGACAGTAAATATCATTGTTACAATGACAATGAAAATCATTGTATTTTTATTGGATTTTTTTTTACGGGAACCCAAATGGTTCAACTATTCTACAAATGGTTTGGATGATAACCGGAACACGTCGTTAAGCTTAATAACCATAACAATTTTTATTAGGGTGAGCATTACGCAAAATTCAGTTAGCGTTTGCTCTCAACTGATGGCGATGAATCTATTATTTCAGCGCAGTCAATATTGAAAAAAAAAAAAACTTCTCATCACCCACAGGTTCTACTCACCTTGCAACAAGTACAGCTCTTGGCAAAATGTGTGAACGTGTGCAGCTTTCACCTTCACAGTGAGTTTCAGATGAAATGTGAAGAACGATTCAAAGAGAAACGTCAAATTCCGTGCCCGATTGATGGCTGTTGTTTTGGTTTTGTTTGTGGGCAGAACCCAAACCGATCGTAGTATCGGAGTCAAGAAAGTTAATTTATTTGAATTGCTATAGTAAATATTCATTATTCTACGCTAAAACATGTCTTATCAGTTGTATCGTAATACCACACTTGGAAATACACTGCAGGAAACATTGGACGAGCTGATTCAGGTAAGTTAATTCATTCTTATTTCATGCATGACTTCCGTATGGAATTTTACAAAATGAAGGCTCGACTAAATTATTGATATGCATCATGTTCTAAAAAAATATGTTATAGTATGGTCAAATTACCCCGGCATTGGCAGTCCGAGTGTTGGTTCAGTTCGACAAATCCATCAATGCAGCCCTATCGAACCGAGTCAAATCCAGGGTAACGTTCAAGGCAGCGAAGTTGAACACCTACCGCTTCTGCGATAACGTGTGGACGCTGATGCTGAATGATGTCGAATTTCGGGAGGTGCATGAATTCGCCAAAGTGGACAAAGTCAAAATTGTGGCGTGTGATGGAAAGAGTAAGTTTAGATTAATTTACTTGGAAGCTTGTAAAATACTTAACATCATCCTAATTTCAATGTCCCTTGCAGATGCTAACGTAAATGACGATATTGGCCGAACAGATCGATAGGTTCAAAAGTCCCAACCTGCAGTGCTTCTGCTTTTTATTTCTGTTTTATATGACACCCATCTCACCCATGGGTTTTCCTGTAGTTTATAACCAACCATATGGACAAAGAAGCTGTAATTCCCAATAAATTAAATCAACAATGTTGAAAAATAAGCCTATGTCGTGCTATGTCCGTATTTGCAGAAAAGAAAAACTAATACCATAATTTTTCGCCCCTAATTCCCTGATTTCGCTAAGTTTTGGAAAATCTCAAAATAATCAGCCATATGCTTGTTTTCGTTCGAACCATATTTTTTGTTTTGGGTGGATCGAACGGTTCAAACTAGAGCAAGAATATGGGTGAATGTGTTTTGGCCCTAGCGGAGAATCATAGTAAATGTAAATATATCATGAATATATTAGGAACTTTGTGATTCAAGATGAGTAGAGAAGCATGTACTGAGTATATAATATCAGATCACGTTTTGGTAATTTTGAGGTTTAGTATTGATTTCAAATTATAGTTTCTCCTATTGGGTAATATTCTTACCCATATGGCTAACAAACTGCTGAAACAGCAAATAACTCGATTTTAGGCAATATTTTATGCATTTCCAGTAAGGCCAAATACTGGTGCATCTAATCGTCGTGTGAACTTATTGGCCCTAGTGCAAAAATCGACAGTGCTTACACATCTCAAGGTAAAGTAAATTATGATTATGAAAACATCTTATAGGTTGCCTTCATTGTCGAGGCACTGATAAACGGTGAGAACCTGCTGGTCAACGTTATTGAGAAAGAAGGATGATGTTCGTCTCATTGTAGGTATTTGTTTCGAATATGTTGTTTCCGACAAGACCACCAGCGACACCATTTCATCGATAACCTGAAATCAAAGTTAGTTTCCTGGAAGGTTACTGCGCACAGCACAAAACTAATATTTGCTAGTACCGACCTGCGAAGCGTTGCGTTTGACAGACAATATCCACCTCCGATCCTGGTACGGCATTCCAACCTTGGTTCATCTCCACCAGTTGTTGTGCCCTTTCGATGAGATTCAGGGCATCAGTAGCATACAACTCAATCATCAGCTTGTGCAATAAATTAATCAACCACAAATTTGCATTGCATTCTCTAAGTGATGAACTAGCATTCGACTGAAAATTTACTTAAGTACAGAAGACTCGATGTCTGCTCACTCTAACAGGGCCAGGAGCTGGGCCTTCCTTTCCCATTTTCGAATTGTACTACCAAAACAGATTTGAAAGGCCATTTAACTAAGAAATGGATCAAACTTTTCGACATTACCATGGAGGCACCATATTTGACGCACTTTTGAATTAAATCCATGATTAATCGAATTTCACGCAGAATTATACTGCCGACATTTGCATAACCGTCCCATCTTTGCTTGATTGAACCACCCTACAAATTTGGTTTTTATTTGAAATATATATATAAAATTTGAGAGCAAATTAAATGTGCTACAATACTTTCGTGTTACCTTTATTTGTTCCGGAATTGGCGTTGACGGCGACTCTGTAGCTCTTTACTCCCATGGAATCCATAAGCAAACGTCAGACTGTAAGTACTAGCCACCTCAGTTAGGAGCAATCCTGAGACTCCCTAACTACAATGGCCGCCTCAGGGTCGGCACGCTTACCGAACTAGGTTTCCACGTGGCAAGGAATGATCGCACTTGGTACAGTAAAAACTCCTACAGCACTTCACTTTTCAAAGCTACCACTTTTATTGTCGGATCCTACTGACACTTTTATTCCTCATAGCACCTTCTACCTTTTCTCCTTTGGCGGCGTCGGATACCTCCTTGGCGCGCTACTGAACTTCTCTCGACCTTTTGATGCTGGCTGGGCCACCGAGTATGTTCAAGGACTCGGGTTCGGCGGTTCGTGCCGGAATTATCTTTATTTGGCTGGGAACTGGCGTAGCCTACCGGTACGTCTACCAGGTATACCTCAACGGTACTATATAAAAATTACAGCGGGGTCCTAACATACAAACGGTTCACATTAGGACCTTTGAACCAAAATGGTGATTCCGGGAATTTACCTGCTGTCCGTTTCTTTCACTCGCTCTCCTTCACTTTCCTCTCACTATCTTCAAGTAGCTTATGTCTGCACAGTAATGTTTTCTAGGCTTTGTCTTGTTTGAATATTTAACCAGAGACTTTATCGACCGTTTAACTCGATGGTTGTTTGACGATTAACGATCGGTGTGTGTAGCCTAGAAAGACGTTATTTGGGTCACTGTCCTTTGACCCAGGCCATTCGTTTTCCATCACCAGTCATCGTGTCCGTTATGCCGTTCATAATGGCCTTTTTGTCGTCACCTCTCATGGCCGCATAACATGCACTCACACAATCTAGTGCCAATCACCGACGGACATCGATTGCCATCCATTGACGGCAATCGAATGTGCAAGAAGGCAGCTTCCACACCTGCGTAGGATATCGCACCCATTCAACACACATGAGCCGGGACCAACGGCTTTACTTCCCTTCCAAAGGAAGACGTGACCAGGGGTTTTTTTGCCTCCGAAAAATCCCACCGACCTTGGCTGAAATTGAACCCAGACCCATTGCCATTGGGGTGAGAAAACAGTCACACTTACCACTTCATCACCGGCGCTGGCAACAGTTTTTCTTGAACCGATGGCTGCCATCTTGGATTCCAAAATGACGTCTGGCATTGATTTCCGGCTTCTCCATGTCGTCACCATTTCGGAAATACCCATATTGTAGGGTGTTTGACAGTTTTTCTTGAACTGATAACCACCATCTTGGATTACAAAATGGCGTCTGGCATCGATTTCCGGCCTCCACATGAGTTACCTCTATGTTAGCACCGCGTAGTGAGAGAGTTCTGAAATAATATGACCACCATTCGAAAGGACTTGGTCACCAGAACAACTTTGCTGAAGACAGCAACTTTCTATATGGCCAGGCTCTCGAGAAACAGTTTACATAGGATGTTCACATACACACTAGCGCCACAGAGGTAACTCTATGACCAGAGATCCCGAAGGACCAATTGGCTAGTCAAGTAGTGAGCCAATTTAAAATCGTTAGTTTCCAGGCCAGAAGGTCCCGAAGAAACGTGCTCAACTTTTTGGTTCAGCTATGGTACTCGGTCCCAAGCTAATCGACCCCTCGAGACATAGGAAAATCCACGAATCCCTCATTTTATCTGTCAAACTTTCATAGCGAATCAAAACAAACATAGTGTAGTACTAGAATTTAGACTAGGGGTACACTTATAGATGCACTTGGGACTAAAGAGACTGAGTTGACCACTTTGTCAAGCAGTTTTAGCGTGACTTTCTACCAGCGATTTCACAAAACTGGGTCAACTAATTTTTATTTTTTTATGAAACGCACAAATGTTGGTTACTTTTCTTGTGGTTCTAGAAAAAAATCTCAAAATAATGTCTTATTCGTTATACGTCATTTTAACTACTCGAATGAAGTGGTTTATTGGGTAAAGAGGCGACATCTTATCCATTTGACAGGTCTTCTGCTCGATTTGAATAACTTTTCCTATGACTTTGACAGATAACAAACAGCATGGTTTTGTTAAAAGACGTTCAACGACTACTAATCTGTTGAATTTTGTAACATTTTCTATTAACGCAATGGATAAGGGACATTATGTTGAGGCACTACCGTATGCGTGATAATGTTTGCACCATCGTACAAATAAGGTTCCCGTTTCACCTGTGCATACAATGCCTTGGTTTTCTTTGCATTCACGTAACCTATAGCTCATACCGTAGTAGGCTGTGTATAAAAGAAAATGATTTACTTAGTTTGACAGTTGCACCATGACGAAGTGGCAGTGTATTCGTGATTTGTCCCACCCGCAAATGTCGCAAAAAGACATTTCAATCGCCATGTGAGTGTCCCGGTGGACCGTCAAAAGGGTTTTAGACCGAGAAAAGAAAGGACAAGTATCCGCGAACAGGTCGTCCGAGGTCAGCTCGGGTTCCGAGGGTTATCGCTGCTATCAAAAGGAAGATTCGGGTGAATCCAGTGCGTTCAATAAGGAAAATTTCAAAGGAACACGTGACTTTACGGTACGGAAGATCGTAAAGGAAGATTGCGGTTCGAAGTCGAGGGCACAGAAAAAAACTCATATGATTACCAACCGCATCCAGGAGCTACGAGACGAACGATGCAAGAAAATCTTGAACTGAAAATCTTGTTTACCGTCGATCCCGTATCAAATTCCAGAACCGACCGGTATATTAGTTCTCTTCCGGTAAAAGACGTGGCCGACGAGCACAAGAACGTGTATCTGACCAAGCATGCTGCTAGCGTTATGGTGTTTGGATTGGTGGCCTCCGATGGCAAAACAATGGACCCGGTGTCCATTCCAGAAAACGACAAGGTCAACACGGTGGTCTACATCGGGATTTTAAGTAAGTATGTTCTTCCGTGGATAAAAGAACAGTACGGTCCAAAGCCAAACATTGTATTTCAACAAGCTCCGTGCCACACCTCGAAACGCACTCAGAAGTGGTTGCAGGAACATCTTCCGTTCTGGGCGAAGAATATGTGGCCGCCATTCAGCCATAGAGGTAACTCTAAGACCAGAAGGTCCCGAAGAAACGAGCTCAACTTTTTGGCTCAGTTCTGGTACTATCTTCGGTCCCAAGCTAATCGATTCACCCCTCGAAACATAGGAAAATCCACTAACCCCTCATTTTATCTGTCAAACTTTCATAGCGAATCAAAACAAACATTGTGTAGTACTAGAATTTTGACTAAAATGGGGTACGTTAATCGATTTGCTTGGGACCAATAGGCTAGTCAAGCAGTGAGCCAATTCAAAATCGTTAGTTTCGAATTGATTGTTGATTCAGCCCCGATCTTAATCCGCTAGATTACTCAATATGGCGCGTCATGAAGGCCAAGGCCTGTTCTAAACGCCACCCGAGTACAGCAAGCCTCAGACAAACATTGACCCGTACCTGGAGAGAAATGGATCCAGACTACATTATTAGAACCTGCCGTGCATTCCGGAAGCGCACTTTGAATAAATAAAACGAAATCGAAATTTTTGAGATTTTTTTTTAATTTTGACATTGTTAAATGGTGCAAACATTATCACGCATACGGTATAAAGGGCGA